GTTTCCTCTCTTGTTGTTTCATCTCTTGTTGTTTCATCTCTTGTTGTTTCATCTCCTGTGGTTTCCTCTCTTGTTGTTTCCTCTCTTGTTGTTTCTTTACTGAGAATCAGTAAAGAAGACTAACGTCTTCAGTAGGAACCAATGAGACTCAGACAGGAAGTGGGAGAGGAAGTGAAACAGGAAGTGGGGGACGAAGTGAGACAGGAAGTGGGACCGTATTAAGAGATGGACCAACATGTTGCTTTGAGTCTGAACAGATTAAATGTAGAATAATAACAGATTTATATTCAGATGATGTTTGTTCAGACTTAACATCACTAAGTTAAATAATTAAATAATAGTCTGTTTATCTCCATGACAACAGATGTTTTTACACCCCCCTCCTCTCAGGTGCACTTCCTGTGTCAGCAGTGAGTTCCCGTGTCATTGGTGTAAATATCGTCACGTCTGCACCAACAACCTGCAGGACTGCTCCTTCCAGGAGGGACGAGTCAGCAACATGGAGGTACCTGAACACACCACACACACACACACACACACACACACACACACACACACACAAAGACACACACAGTTTAAAACCCTCCCTCTGGTGCATTCAAGGACTCCGTTTCTCTGACGCATCGATGAGCAACGTTCTCACCAAACGAACAGAACAGGAATCAAACTTTAAAAGGTTCAAACTGTCTGTTTTCTCTCAGCTGGATCACACGACAATGTCACAGGACATCATCACACGACATCGTCATATTTACATATTGATCATTATGTAAATGTATTTCTCTGCATATTTTATCTGTTGATTCGATGAAACTAATATCTGCATGGACGGAAGGCACAAACACCAGTTTGGCCCTTTAATATAACTTTCTTTTTTATTTCCTATAATAATGTTACAGTTAATATTAATAGAAATAATATTGTTTTCACTCTGAAACACACGGAAATATAAACACTATAAACTGAAATGAAAGTGGACTTAAAAACAAATACTGTCTTTAAAAACATTGAGTTAGACTTTGTTATAAGAGATATTAACATGTTTTTCCTTTAAACGTATTTTAAATGTTGCCTAAATACAATCAGCTGTTGTTTACGTAAATAATGTCAATAAAGAAGGATTCTCTGTTTCCTCTCTTCTTGTTTCCTCTCTTCCTGTTTCCTCTCTTGTTGTTTCCTCTCCTTTAGTTTCGTCTCTTGTTGTTTCCTCTCCTTTAGTTTCCTCTCTTCCTGTTTCCTCTCTTGTTGTTTCCTCTTCTCACCTCTGTGTTTTCTCTCCTTGTCTCCTCTCCTCTTGTTTCCTCTCCTCACCTCTGTGTTTTCTCTCCTTGTCTCCTCTCCTCTTGTTTCCTCCCCTTAAAGACGGACTCTCTGTTTCCGTACATATTAAATAGTATACTGTATGTGTAGCTCATGTTTTTCTCTGATTCTGCTGACAAACAAACAGGAACATGACCTCGCTGTCAACAAGATGTTCACACTCACTGAAATCAGAACTACAAACATTTGAATGTTCTTTTTTCTGCTTCGATAAAGAAACAACACTGAAGAAAATAGTTTTATTATGTTTTGGTTTGTTTATTCAATGAGTTGTGATGTAAAACACAAACACCTTCATTATTTAATTGATTTAAAGCTCGTTAGCAGCAGCGATCGTCTCGTTGACCTGATTGGTGCTCGGTGTCAACGCCGGGTGACACTAACGACCTCTGATTGGCTAATTGGTTAATGGAAGATGAATAGCCACTTAATTGACATGAAAGCAGCCAATCACAGCAATTAATGTTAATTACTGGGCAATTAGGGCCGACTACAGAGAGGGGGGGGAAGAGAAAAACACAGACAAACAGGAAGGAGGAGCGGTTTTTCAGAGTAAAAGCCTCTGAACTGATAACAGGACTATTTAAAGAAGACTTTTTAACAAAAAGCTCCGTCTCTGTAAAATACATTCAGTAGCTAGCGTAGCATAGCTAATGCTAATGCCCTGTGCTAATGTTAGCTCCACTAACGTTTTATAAACGAGTCTCACTGTTACACAACGTTCAACACACGACCTCCAGATCCACTGAACCAGGAACCAGAGATGAGAGTCTGTGATTGGACAGTCTGAGTTAGAGGGGCGGGGCTTAGCGAAGGCTGAACTGCAGCCGTCATTAACGTTTTAAAAACATTCGGTGTCATACAAACACATCATAACACTGACTCTAGTGTGTATTTATGGCCTGTCAATCAAAATGTATCACAATAATCAACTTTATTTAGACGGCACAAAGAAATCACATTTAAATGTAAATCTGTAACAGGTGAGCTGAGTGTTTAAATAAATGTCCAATGTTTGCTGAGCGCCTCAGAGCCACAGTCTTTATCCAAAACACACACGCTCTCTCACACACACACGCGCACACACACACACACACACACACACACACACACACACACACACACTCACTGTCACGATCTCCACAGTCGCTGCTGGTGTCCACTGTGCTCTCGTCCACTTCCTGTGGAGCTAATGGTCTTCCTGACAGTCACAAGGCAATTAATTACCGTGGCGACGCTCATTAATAAAGGTTTCACCCCACTGAGAGAGTGTGTGTGTGTGTGTGTGTGTGTGTGTGTGTGTGTGTGTGTGTGTGTGTGTGTGTGTTTCAGTAGCCTCAGGAAGTTCCAAACTTGGATCTGTCACCAGCTGTCCATTACTGAACACACACACACACTGTTGGCTGTGTGTGTGTTACAGTGTGATACAATACACACAGATATAGATCCATTATATTCCAAATAATACATATAAAGATTATTATTCCCAATGGCAAATATTTGTTCAAATATACTGTATATTTTATTCCGTCATTTATATATTAATATTTTCATTAATAACTTAAACTCTCCAACACTCAAACCACAGGTTCCCACATTGATTGACGGGTCAGTTAATACGACAATAAAAGGGTTATTAATAATTCCTGATGCTGCCACATTTAGAGCTTATTATTATAATAATTTAACTTATATTATTTATTTATTCCATGTTTTATTTTCCTCCAGACCTCTTTGTATGGAGGACCACAGCTGTCATAATATCAATAAGTAAAATAATAAAGAAAGAAATGTAGTAATAAAATCCTCAAAAGAATGTGCAGGTTAATATGAAAATAAATAATATGCTATAGTATAATAGTATTAAAATATATATTAATATAATAGACACATAACTTATTTTTGTATTTATTTATTTGCATATTTACTTATTATCAATGAATGCTATCTATTTATTTATTCTTATTTCTGTGTATATTTATTTATTTCAAAATAACCTGCACATTCATTTCATAATTTAAGCTTTTATTTCTAACTTATTTTTATCATTTATTTATTTATTATAGTCTCAGCTTTCGTCCTCCATATATTTATCAACCTAAAACTACAAACAGACTAAATGTTTGTGTCAAAAAAGAACGGAGCTAAAACACAAAATCTATATTTATTTAACTGTTTGTGTTGACGGTGATGTCCCCCCCACCCCCCCGTCTCTACAGGGTTGTCCACAGATCCTCCCCACCTCCGACATCCTGGTTCCGGCCGGGATGGTTCGTCCAATCACGTTGCGAGCTCGTAACCTCCCTCAGCCTCAGTCGGGTCAGAAGAACTACGAGTGTGTGTTCAACATCCAGGGGAAAGTCCAGAGGATCCCGGCGGTCCGCTTCAACTCCTCCTGCATCCAGTGTCAGAACACCTCGGTGAGGCACTACACTACCCAGCATGCACCGCTCCATCTTTACACAGGCCACTGTGTGTGTGGTCGTAGTAACTGTGGTACTTCAGGTGGTGGTAGTGTTTTGATATTTCTGCATCTTTCTTTGTGTCTGACTTTCTCTCTCGTCCTAAATATTTATTGTAGTAGCAGCAGTATTAGAACTACAAGCAGCAGTATTAGTAGTAGAAGCAGCAGTATTAGTA